CGTTCTCCCAGAAGGTGGCAAAAAGGAAGACGAAAAAGTGCTGATTTGAATCAAAAGAGTGCTGGGAACACAGCAGAGGTGGTTCTTGTGGACTTCATTTCATTAATTAAGGAATTTTTTTTTTTTTTTTTTGAGACAGTCTTGTTCTGTGGCCCAGGCTGGAGGGCAGTGGTCAGATCTCGGCTCACTGCAACCTCCGCCTCCCGGGTTCACCCCATTCTCCTGCCTCAGCCTCCTGGAGTAGCCGGGATGACAGGTGCCCATCACCACCATGCCCTAGGAATTTTTGTATTTTTAGTAGAGACGGGATTTCTCCATGTTGGCCAGGCTGGTCTCGAACTCCCGACCTCAGGTGACCCACCCACCTCGGCCTCCCAAAGTGCTGGGATGACAGGTGTGAGCCACCGCACCCGGCCGGTGCTACACTTTTTAACTTCTCTTTTGTTTCAGTTTTCGGACAGTGGCACAGATTTTCCAGCATGGCGTAATGATGATGGAATCATTTTTGAGACAAAATAATAATAATAATAATAATAATAATAATAATAATAAATGGAAAAAGAAATTGACTTTTACAAACGACAATTTTTTACATTTTTAAAAAAAAATTTTTGGCATAGCTTTTTCTCAAATGGAAAAAGAAATCGACTTTTAAAAACGACAATTTTTTGCATTTTTTAAAAAAAATTTTTGGCATAGCTTTTTCTCAAATGGAAAAAGAAATCGACTTTTAAAAACGACAATTTTTTACATTTAAAAAAAAAATTTTTGGCATAGCTTTTTCTCTCTTTCTGTAAAAGAACGTTGATGATTGGATTTGGCCGGCCCGACTGCTTCCCAGCTGTGATATAAAACACATGTGAGCTGGGAGGGAAGTGGGGGGAGGGACAGAGCCTCGCACACACTCAAAGAGTTCTCTTTTCACCCGGCCTGTCTGGGTCTTGCCGGACAGAAGGAAAGTGGTGCTTTGCGTGTGCACCAGACGTGCTTTCGTGGCTGTGACCACAACACGTCAACCTCCAGCCCTGACTAAGGCAGACGCGGGCAAGTTCAGTCTTTGCAGGCTACTCGTGTGGCCTCAGTGAAAAGGTGAATCCACACGGTTATTGCATGGTTAAAACGTTCAGCTTTGGCCGGACGCGGTGGCTCACGCCCGTCATCACCAGCACTTTGGGAGGCTGAGGCGGGCGGATCACCTGAGGTCAGGAGTTCGAGACCAGCCTGGCCAACATGGTGAAACCCCGTCTCTATTAAAAATATAAATACTAGCTGGGCACGGTGGCTCATGTCTGACATCCCAGCACTTTGGGAGGCCGAGGCAGGTGGATCACCTGAGGTCAGGAGTTCGAGACCAGCCTGGCCAACATGTTTATTTCATGTTATTTTATTTATTATTCCTTTTCTTGAGACAGCGTCTTGCTCTGTCGCCCAGGCCGGGTGCAACGCACGATCTCAGGCTCACTGCACCCTCCGCCTCCGCGGGTTCAAGCATGCTGCCTGCCTCAGGCCTCCTGAGGAGCTGGAATGACAGGCACCCTGCCACCACCACGCCCGGGCTAATGTTTTGTATTTTCGTTACAGACGGGTTTTGCTCCATGTTGGCCCGCTGGCTCTCCGAACCTGCCTGACCTCA